GGTGTTCAGTGCGTTCCAAACAGGATATAGCGCCCTCCGAAGGGCACTTCGGAGTAAAAACAATCATGGCCGCCATATTGAAGGGTTGTTCCAAACCGAAGTGCTAAAAACTGGCCACTTCAAAGGGCCCTTAGGATTGAAGGATTTCGAAGGGTACAACTGATGGACACTTCGGGTTCCCATGATCCTTTGCGCAGATTCTTTGCATGATGACGACGCCTCCGTGTGGGCACGTGATGATGACGCAGAAGGGCACTTCAAGAAACAGTTGTTTGGTCCCCTACACACTTCAACCCTTCGAAGCTCTCACTCCGGAGGGTAAACCCTTTGAAGGGATTAGGGCATAGGGATGAGTCCTTCCGAATGGAACGCAGGGTAAGATTCTATCCCGTAAGTGTGGGCACGGCCATTTGTAATTTTTTATGGGACTGGCTTCTGGTGTCATCTGGCCGGCTATTTTTAGTTGTACAAAACAGCTCATTTTGCTGCTTGATATTGCAAATTGGTGTGTCTTACCACATTATTTTAATGTATTATCTTAATTATGAACACACTGGTCTGTGGCATTGTGCTGTGTGATAAAACTGCACATTTTAGAGTGGCCTTTTATTGTGGCCAGCCTAAGGCACCCCGTGCAATAATCATGCTGTCCAATCAGAATCTTGATATAATTTTGTTCAGTGTGTGTGTGTGTGTGTGTGTGTGTGTGTGTGAAAGAGAGAGAGACAGAGAGAGAGAGTGCAGCGCTGTAAACAGCAGTATTCTGCTTATCAAAACACTACAGTGTTGCTTCACCAGGCAATTATAGCCTCACTCCCTATATTGATAAGGGAAAAACCCAAAGAATGCAAACAGAGTGCACCAGCATTTTCTAACATCAACACTTTCTAACCAAACCACAGGAGCAAGTCTAGTGGGAGCACTTGGCTAAATGTTCACTGTTGAATGCTAATGCATATCTCCTTCGCATAGAGTTGATCAGGTTGTTGATTGTGGCCTGTGGAATGTTGGTCCACTCCTCTTCAATGGCTGTTGAAGATGTTCAATGGAAGTTGCTGGATATTGGTAGGAACTGGAACACGCTGTCGTAAACGCCGATCCAGAGCATCCCAAACATGCTCAATGGGTGACATGTCCGGTGAGTA